AAAAAAAAAAAAAAAAAAATCACTTTTGGAAAAAGCCAAAGCTTTTTCAAAAAAGATAGAAAAACCTCTCAACTTTCAAATCAAAGACATGCAAATGTAAAGGATTTCTTAGGAAATCCAAAAATAAATAAGGGCAATTTTGTCCATTTTGGCTTTTTTTACAAATTTTCTCTCTCCTTTGTGTTTTTTCAAAGTCTCCCTAAAAAATATCTGATTAATACGAGGGTGTTAATGCCATATATTATCTCATATTTATAGGAAAAAGAAAGTATGGTTTAGCAATTAGCACTAATTCTCCGAGTTGAAGTCCTTGTGGGAAATTGATATATAGTTGTAACTGACCGAAGAAAGAGTATTGTTGTTTAGCTAATTCATGGAAAAAGGAGTAAAAAACACAGCAGACGTGGCGAAGATTGAGACAGTCGTTGTTTGCATTTGCAATGTCTGTTTGGTTCTTCTCGTAGACCGTTTAGCGGCTTCTTGTGCTTGCTTTGACTCTTCCCTCCATTTAATGTTCTTTGATGGCTAGTCAGTCAGCTGCACCCACCGGGTCGCCACCGGCCCATGTCCAACTTCCCCAGAATACCCCTCGATTTGCCCCTTCCACATCTTCCACATTACCAATTATAAAACTAATATAATTTATAGCTTACCCTCCAAGTATTATTGCACAATCAAACAATTGGCCCCCACCCAAAAGGCCAAAAGCAGTGCATATTTACATTTGCATAAGTGGAAATGTCAAGAATGTGCAACTTTTCAGAAAAGAAGGGGAAGAAGGACCTTTTAGTCTCCTCTTCCCCCCTCCTCTCTCTCTCTCTCTCTCTCTCTCTCTCTCTCATGGGCCGCATAGTCAATTTGCCCCCATCAACATATCCCCCCCAACATTAATTTAGTCTAAACCCAAACGGTGGTTGAGCTATCTGCCTATCCTTCTCCTTCTATGAACTACTCACAATTAATTCAACATCATTCCAGCTTTCTTGCAGCACCTTACTATTAATTCCCATTTTCATGCCCTCCCCTTCCCCATTCTTCATCTTCACAACTTCATACCCCCCTCTCCCCCTCTCTAGCAGTGTTCGTTTTCGCTTCTTTTGTTCACACACACACGCAAACGACTGATGCTAGCATAACTTTTCGACTTATTAGAAACAGTGCTTATAATTTGGTGCTTTATAAAACACAGAGAGTGATTGTTTGAGAGAGACAATCAAATTCATTTCATCAATGGATATTGCTCATGCTAGTAGTAATAGTAGTATAGACATGGACAATGAGAGATTGACGGCGGAGATGGCTTTCAAGGACTCGTCCTCCGCCGTCATCAAAATCCGCCAACGCTTGCCGGACTTCCTGCAGTCCGTCAAGCTCAAGTACGTCAAGCTCGGCTACGGTTACTCTTGTAACGCAGCCACCATTCTCTTGTTCCTCTTCATCCTTCCTCTCTTCGTGTCCGTAGTGATACAGCTCACCGGTCTGGAGTTGAACCGGATCACCGAGCTCTGGACCAACCAGGCCGTCCGCCTCGAGAGCATCGACGCCGCCCCCCGCCTCGCCGGTTCCGGCGTCCTCCTCTTCTTCCTCGGCCTCTACTGGGCCAAGCGGTCCAGACCGGTCTACCTCGTCGACTTCTCGTGCTACAAACCGGACGACCAACACAAGCTGTCGGTCGACTCGTTTCTAAAAATGACCGAAGACAGCGGCGCATTTGCCCAGGACACGGTTCAATTCCAGACCCGGATTGCGAACCGGTCCGGTCTAGGCGACGAGACGTACTTGCCGCCCGGAATTACATCCAAACCGCCTCAGCTGTCCATGGAGCAAGCCCGGTCCGAGGCCGAGACGGTAATGTTCGGCGCGCTCAACTCGCTCTTTGAAAAAACCGGAGTCAAACCGAGCGAAATCGACATCCTCATCGTAAATTGCAGCCTGTTCAATCCGACGCCGTCGCTCTCCGCCATGATCGTCAACCACTACAAGCTCAAAACCGACATTAAAAGCTACAACCTCGGTGGCATGGGCTGCAGCGCCGGTCTGATCTCCATCGACCTCGCCAAGGACCTCCTCAAAGCAAACCCCAACTCCTACGCCGTCGTAGTGAGCACCGAGAACATCACCTTGAACTGGTACTTCGGAAACGACAAGTCGATGCTGCTCTGCAACTGTATTTTCCGAATGGGCGGCGCCGCGGTTCTACTGTCGAACAAAAGCCGGGACCGAACCCGGTCCAAGTACGAACTCGTCCACACCGTCCGGACCCACAAGGGCGCGGACGACAGGAATTACAATTGCGTTTACCAGCGGGAGGACGACAAGGGAACAATCGGCGTGTCTCTCGCGCGCGAGCTGATGGCGGTTGCCGGCGATTCGTTGAAAACGAACATCACGACGCTGGGCCCACTGGTGCTGCCGTTTTCCGAGCAGGTGCTCTTCTTCTTCACGCTGATCCGGAAGAAGGTGTTCAAGGCAAAGGTGAAGCCGTACATACCGGATTTCAAGCTCGCGTTCGAGCATTTCTGCATTCACGCCGGAGGGCGGGCCGTGCTGGACGAGTTGGAGAAGAACCTGCAACTCACTGAGTGGCACATGGAGCCTTCTAGAATGACTCTGCACCGCTTCGGCAACACGTCGAGTAGCTCGTTGTGGTACGAGCTGGCGTACGCGGAGGCCAAGGGCCGGGTCGGGCTGGGTGACCGAGTCTGGCAGATCGCATTCGGGTCGGGTTTCAAGTGTAACAGTGCGGTTTGGCGGGCGCTCCGGCCTATTTCGGTCGGGGACGGGTTGGGTAACCCGTGGATGGACTCGATTGATAGGTACCCGGTTAAAGTTTCAATCCGTTAGGATTTGTCTTTGGTGGCGCCATGCCAACGGATCAGGATGCCCCAGTTCCTCTCATGTGGAATTACATGTGGCTGGGTTTATTTTATTTTATTTTTAGATTTTCGTTTGTATTTGTAATATTTTACTGAATTTCTTATGATGGCACATCATAAAGTGAATTATTTAAAAGTAATTGGAAATTAAGGTCTTCACAAATACACACAGTGTTTTCCCTTTTCTTAATACTTTTTTGTTTTTATTAGCGAATTGCCCACTTGCTGGATTTAGAACATGTGTATTGAAAGGTTTCTTCGTCCAATTCCAATAGATGGGAAGGGAACCAAGATTCCAAATTTCCATGGCATTGACATGTAACTTCAATCCTCCGTTTCGATGCGTGAAAATAACTCAAAATTTAATTACAAATCAAAAATTTAAGATGAGAAATTAAGACAATGTTGTATAATTACAATCATTTTATTTTCTATTTTATCAACATAACTTCTTGTTCATATGTGAAATTCGAACTTAGCATATCTTTCAGATTCGATACTTTATGTGAATATGCATAGGTGTGTCTAGGGTTGGAAGACGCAAGTGGATTGGGTTTTCCCTCTTTTCTGGGTATTTGTTTTGAATCCTTCCCCACTTGACATGGCCATGCAAACTCACATGAGATGGGCATGTATGGACTAAGGATTTGTTGTGGATATTTAATTTGATTGGGAATATTACTTTTTCGTTTTATTGCTGAGCAATTTGATTGGGACATGTAACAATGTTGGTGCCCAAATCAGTGACCAAGAGGGTGGATTGGTTTCGACCAAAAAAAAAAAAAAAGAGGGTGGATTGGTTGGTTTTGGGATTATCCACATGGGGCTTCAGTGGACTGAAGCCACAAACATGACTATTCATTATTATTACTTTTCTTTTTTTGAGTCAGTTCAAATTTATTTATTTATTTATGCACATTTTACATTTATTAGGTTCTGTAAGTTGCATCTACTCGACACTGACTTGCAGGAATTGGGGGACTTGATCTCCTTTTTTTTTTTCTTTTTTTTTTGGGTCAAGGGGACTTGATCTCAGTCCCATCCCATCAACAAAAATGACGTGTTTATCTCATCAATTTGCACAATTCAATCATTACTGGTTTGGTCTTGTAGGCCCTTCCCATTTCTCACAAGAACATCCATTGCGTTTCTTTCTTTGTTGCATCAGAATTTTCTGCTTGAATCTTTGCTTGAGTTAAATCTGAGTGTTCACAAATTTTCTTGAATACAAGTGATAGTTTAAACTAAGGGGAGGATGGGTGGTTTCTCACACATACTCACTACTATTGTGTCATAATAGTTGGAATATTAGAGAAACCACTAATTTGAAAATCAATGCCATTTTCATTGAGCGTTGACAAGTGTTCACAAATTTTATTGATTTGGGAAGGTCACGAAAGTTCAAACTAAACCTGCCCCTTCCCCAACAATGGCATTCATTATGATAGAGTTAATGAGTTAGCTTTTTTGAGGGAGGGTAATTCTTCGGTCGCTAGAGCGACGCGCGATGTAGCTTCTCACCAACCGTACCAACAGAACCTTAGTCTCGAATCCTCTATCAAAGGCAGGATAAAAATCCTGCAGAATCATTCGAGCCCGTTCCTATCGAAATACAAAGGGGCGACTATTGGGCCCCCTTGGACTTTACTATTTTTTATCTGTTTAAGGAATTATTCCCTGGAATTATTCCCTGTTTAAGGCTTACACTTTCATTTGTTAAGGAACAAAATCTCTCTCATTTCCAATTCCGCAACCCACTAAACAAACCCTAGACAAGTGGGTTAGGTGAAGTAAGCCTCTTTACAAGAGTTCTTGCTTCCTTTTTTTCTTTTTTCTTTTTAAATCTAGCTTATTGTGAATGTATGACTCCCTTCACTCATTCTCTCTTTGAGACTTACACTGAGATAATTATGCAAATGGAATGTAAATGTGACTTTATATCCAAAAATTTGCATATGCAATGGGAGATACTCTAATTAGATATTTTAAACTAATAATATATGGAGAGGGGAATTGAACTCAAGTGCAAAGGTAGCGGGCATACTACCTTAGCCAACTAGCCTAACTCATACTTGCATTCGTTATTTTGATTCAATGAACAAAACTTAATACTTCGTTAAACTTTATATTTTTAATTTAAGTACTTGTTTATATATTTTGATAATATTTTTTTGTAAACCGTGTATCCCTCTCGTATAGTGAATGGCTTGAATCTGGACTAAGGTTAGGGCTTACACCTAATCTCTTGGTTGAGATACCTACAGGAGGAGACCTGCACACTTCGAACAGTTATCAGAATAGGAGTGAATTGGGGTGTTTTCCAGTTGAACCCCCTCCGATGGTTAAGTAAGAAGTGAGTTATAGGTGGAGAAATGGAGAGACAAAGATATTTAAGGAGGAGATATTTATCTTCCTTCCCCTGGTGGGACTGGACCACATTAAATGACTTCTTCTGATCACCATGTTGTCTGACAGGTATTAGGTGGCAAAGCGACACTTGGCTTTGGACGGGAGGCACATTAATTGATCCCTCTCCACCACTTGGCTAATCATCAGGGAAACATGTGGTAAAGCGACACTTGACTTTGGATGTGAAGTATATTAACTAATCCCTTTCCATCGCTAAGCTATTGTATTAGATGGGTGGAGTGGCTGACTTGACAGGAGTCTTATCGTGCCTTCAGACTATTAGTGTGCCTTTGGGCATACACGGCATCCTAGTGGTTAGGTTGGTACTCGTGTGCCCGATCACTGTTTCACACTCTCCCGTCAGGCTCGACTTGGAGGGCTTTCATCAACACCCAACAGTAACTCAAGTCGGGTCGGTATACCGGGGGCCCAGTCTCTTATGACTACATGGTGTTCTCTGGTAGGCTCGGTTTGCAGTGATGATATGAACCATTAACATTTTCTATTAAAAAAGTCATGGGTTGACCCAACCTGACCCATCGATCAATCAAATAATCCACTTAATAAAGATAACCCAACCCACATTATATGTATGGCTAACATAAAAAGCAAAGCCAACCCATTTAGCAAAGAAGAAAAAAACCGAGAGTACCAAAAACCACACAGCAATGTGGGCAGTGTCCTACCTGCCCCCACCAACACCGCCATGCCACCCTCTCGTACGGAACCTCAACAAACCACCTCTCAATCTCAAGAGCCTCTCCGTCTCCGCCAAGTCTCAGCCACCAGGCCAAGACCTCGGAGGCTTAGGCCATTCAATTCTCACCAAACTCAAATCCAACCACAAACCCACAACCCCAATTCTCTCAAAGCAAAAGCAAAAGCAAAGGCAAAATCAAGAGGGTAAGCAGATGATTAGTGGGTCTGATGTGCTTTTCGCTCTCCAGAAAGCAGCTGATAAGAAAAGCAGAGAGATTGGTAAGAAAAAGAAGAAGGCAAATGTGTCGTCGTCATCATCATCATCCTATCTGGGAAGCCACGGGGAAGAGGAAGGTGTGGATGAGGATGTGAAAGTGAGGCCCTTGTGTGTGAAAAGTGAGTGGGGTGATAGGTTGGATGAATTGGAAAAGCGCTGTCAGGAGCTTTCTTCTAAGGTCGTTTGAGGGTTTGCCCATCTATGCATTCCAATTGTGAATAATATTTTATTTGATTCATGTCAATGTTTTCTTTTTCTTTTTCAACACTGGTCTTGTTATCCTTGCATTGTATAAATGAATCACATTCGGAGAAATGAGACTAATGTCACCTATGGACACTTGGCAATAGAGCAAAGAGGACAATTTTTTTAGTTTTCCATTTCACTTTCACCATGTGGTGTAATTGTGTGGGCAGTTCTTCTCTGTGCATGACGGTGTTTAAGCACAAGCGATTGGGAGAGAGGGGTTTACACAAATATTCATTGGGTGTTGGGATTTTGAATTTCTTTCCACACGGTAGAGGTGGAATAACCCTACCAACTAAGCTATACGTCATTGGCTCCATGTGCAGGAACGTTAATCTTTGGACATTATCGATACAAAATCCATCTTCTATTAAAGAATGAACGTCTTGTCCAGAAAGTTTCCGAGTCATACTTTAGTTTCCCATTGTAAGTAATATGGTGGCAGTGCCGTGTTTAATTATTTGGTTTCTTGTTTAAGCAGCATTGTCTTTCTTTGATGATCTAAGTTTGGTGTTTTAAAACTTATTGGGTCTTGTTTCTTACTTGTTGTCTTAAGAAAGATGAACCTAGACTCATTTAAATTGCCTTCAATAGGCTATGATTGTTGTGTTTCTTGATCGTTTAAAATATGCACAAGAAGATGTATATAAAATATGCAAACTACATAAGAGCAAATTACAAAGACTTTCCAGGTTTACAAATCTGAATTAATGGATACTCTACGGGACAGGACAGCTACGATTGGTTTCTTATAAGAAAGTAGGTGTTTGGCTAATCAAATTATATGCATATGAAATGCCTTTTCTTGAATTGCAGTTTAGATTGATTACAAAGACCAATTGCTGATATTCGACTCTTAACATTTTATCATTTTATAAAGAAGTTGGTATGAAAAAGCGGATTACAGTGAGCAAACTTCCCCGCTTTCAATTTGTTAATTTATTTCCCTTGAATGTCAACTTTCTGGGACACTGATGCATACATAACATTAGTTTACTTGATTCTGTACAAATTTTGTTACGGACTAGGTTTCTTTTCTGATTTTTGTTATTATTCAATGGTTTTGATTTTTAAAATTTATTTTATACAAGCGATGGTCGAAATTATTCCAAATTAATCTAACCTACGGAAGGAGATATTCGAACTTGGGTGCCATAACCAACTGACCTAACTCATTTATGCCCTCATCTTTGACATGGTGCATTGGGATGGATAGATCATAGAACACAGAAGAGCTCTGAGTTTTGAGGGGATTGAGATGACCCTCCATAAAATGAAATTACTGTGAAAAGTTGAACGTCGAAAGAAACAATTTACATGTAGTGTGGGTGGACCGAGTCTAAGACATCCAACATCCATGATCAGTGGCCATACATTTTGTACCTAATAATACGTGTTAAGAATTTCCAGCAACGGAGAAGAATATGCCACGGCATTTGGCTCTGGTTCTGATGCTTACAGGTCCCTCAGAGTACCTGAGCAACCAAATCCATAAATTGGGTAAACCAAGATCCTCCTGTTCTGAATTTTGATCCACGATCTGAGTTGTCCTAAAACAACTTTTTCTAGTTGACAAGTGTACAGAACACAAAACGTTAACTGGTCCCCTTGACCGGAAGATCCGAAATTGCGAAACATCATAATTCTACATTAATTGATATTCAGACCTGTTGTTCTACATTAGTTGATTACATAATCAAGCAGCTGATAATACACAGTTAATTAACACACTCAAACTGCCATAAACTAGCAAAATAAAAAAGAAAAAATATGCCACGTCAAAATTCGGATGCAAAATAAACTCTGATTTCTGCTAGATGTCAATGAACAAATGCCAACAAAATGCATTACAAGCTGATAAGTTAATACGTAACAAACAATTCCTAGACTGTCAATTATCTGAAGCATTTTTTTTTGGCCATACATCTAACAGCAATGAGACACCAACATTCAGTTATAAACTTATAATACCTCATTTTCCTAATCCTAGCAGCCTTTTTCTTTTTCTTTTCTTTTTTTGCCCCATCTTTTCCATTGAAAAGAGAAAAAAAGGGAGGGGTAGGTGGCTCTGTTATTTTCGTTTTCTGTCTGATGAAACTCGTCCTCCAACCAGTCACATGTTCCTTGTTTTACCCAAAAAACAACCTTAATCCTCTGCCACTAGTAAGGCCGGTACCTCCTGCCACGGTTACTTTCATCACTGCCACCACCACCTCGTCCAGGCTGTCCACTTGGACCATTGCTCCGATCCACTCTCCTAGGACGAGGAGTTGGGATTTGTGCACCAGGCTGCTGACTGCAAAAAAGCAATCTCTATGAGTCATTATTCCATAATTATTTACTCTTTTTTTTCTTTCTAAAAGAACCTCCCAGAAAACAAATGACAACTTACAGAACATAGCCAATTCGACCATCTGGTAGAACCATAGGCACC